CAGCCTTCTGGCTCAGGGGGCTTTCCCTTTACTCAGCTGTCAGCTTCCTTTACCGTGGGGTAAGAGAACTTTTTGTTGAAATGGAGAATTTCACACGGTAAGGGTGCGTGCCAGTGCGTGACTGAGTGTATGTGTTTGTTTTTAAAATCACCAAAGTGCAATATAGTTCAGGTAAAATCAAGTATGTTTTCTAGTATCAATTTACCATATTACAGTTTTGGAGAATCACAGCCTGAAAAAAAAGAGTATGGGGGTTATGTGTGTGGGGGTGCAACAGAAAGTATGGGGACTTGAACCATGTTTCTTCTCTCCCCTTGTCACTGGTCACATTTAGAGTTATATTATGATTCTAAAATTTTGAGCATCATGTCACATTTTGAAGTTTTTATTTTTCACAGGTCAAATGGGAAAAGCGTGTTCTCTTCTGGGACATCAGTTTCTGGTCGCAAGATAAAGACTGCTGTTAGACGCAGGAAATAAAGGTCACAGTGGTGTTTCGCACAAGTTTTAACGGAAGCTGGTGTCTTGCTTTTAGATACTGGATTGTATACTACATGCTGGGGTTATCTGAAGTCAAACCTGCCTAAGGACCTCTTTAATTTTGGAATTTTCCTCTTTACAACAACCCCACCATCACCTCTCGCCATGCCCTTTTAAAAACAATTAATAGCTAGACTGGTGACTGATTCTTCAGCAGAAATATTTTATGATCCAGCAGATTATTCACTGATTTGGCTTAGGCTGGCTGAATTCAGGAGTAGAGCCCGCTCAGTGAATGGCTTTGTATAGAACCTCTTCGTCTGCACCATTATGTGCGTTGATACGCGTTTATGGAACGCATTTAATAATTGTAATTATATCTGAGGAATTCTGTATAGGTTAGAGAATATTGAAATGAATGATTTCTATGCTGAGTTTGTGCTGGTGTATGTGTGAAGTGAGTGAGTTGGGTGTGTTGTGCACTAAAATTTTCTGATAGAGGAAGCCTGATTAAAGAATGGTCCGTGCTAAGGACTTGTTAGATCTAGTTCCTTCTCCACTTAATAATTATATGCTATTTCTATATTTTCATTCTTCTATCACCTGTCTTGCCTTTTTCATTATTTTATTATGAAACTTGTGTAAATACAATTTTGTTTCTGTACTTTTTTTGGCATAACATAAATCTGTGAACTTGAAGTTTTAATTTTGTGTTAGAATTTTTGTTGTTTGTTTAGTCTTGTCTCAGATTTTATTATGTAAATCCCATTATTCAAAGTTGCCTAAATCCATTTGGAAATCTTTAAAAAAATTGGGGATTCTTAAAGTGAATTTATTGGCTTTTCTGATCCAGTTTTGTTTGGACCAAAAACCAGTATTGTACAAAGTATTAAGCATATATTTTTATATTTACTGAAATGGACTGTGGTGACTTTGGATAATAAGGAAAAGTTTAATATTAAAGCCATGTTTATTACAGTATAATTAACATGTTAAACCATGGGATAAATGCCATCAATAAAAAATTGTGAAATCCTTTTTGTTCTGTTAACTCTGGAAGGGGACCTTTTTTATAAAGGTTAAAGATGGTCAGCTAGAAGAGAAGTTTCAGAGAATGCTTTTAAGTGATTTGGATAGCTCCTAAGTGAGGGGGAAAATGTCTGAACTTACATCAAATTGAAAGTTCCTGTGCTTTTTGTCTGGTGCTAGGAATCATGCCTCCTTTGCATATACATAAATTTGGCTTACCTTTTTAAAAATTGGAAATAAACACACAACCATTTCTGTCTATACTTGTATCTTCCTTGATAGATGACTAGATACTGGTTTTCCTTTTTCCCTTTAATTTTTATTTGACTTGAGAGAGAGAGAGAGAGAAATACTGATTTGTTGTTTCACTTATCCATGCATTCATTGGTTGCTTCTTGATTCCCTGACCGGGGATTGAACCCTCAATCTTGGCGTATCAAGATGACACTCCAACCAACTTAGCTATCTGGCCAGGGCTAGACACTGGTTTTTGATTGAGTTCTTGGAGATCTATGGCCTGAGCAGCCCATAAAAACTTCAGTGTTTCTTTTATGTATTTTTTAAAAAATTATTTTACCAAATTTTTTAACTGCATTCTTTTCTGTGGTCCATAAAAGATCTCTTGTGGGACAGCATTTGGTAATTTTATTCTTCAATTTGAATGCACAGTTGTGTTGTGCTGACTTGTGTTTTGCTGAGCTTCCGGTTGGAGTATAGATTCAGAACTCTAAAAGTGTTTAGCTTTTTGGTGTGTGTTTACAATGAAAAAGATATTTTTTAAAATTAAAATATATCTTAAAATATTTTAAGCCATCATCCAGTGCTGGCTTGGGGGTAGAAATTTTGTATTTGTAATGCACATTTGACATGGACCTGTTTGTTTGTGGGCAAACAGTGATGGTGAATGTTGGAAGACGTAAACTGGAAATTTGTGGCTTTATTGCGGAGAAGTTAGTGCCTAACTAAACCACAGGTGCATTCGTTCTTCGCCATTCTCTAGGCCAGTCTGGATGGGAGCATCAGGCTTTTTATTCCAGGAAGGACTTTTCCTAAGAAATTTGCTGGGAAGGTTTTCTTTTACTTAGCAGCTTTTTAAGAAGCAAGTGACTGAGAACCCTAAAGTGGCTTTTCTTAAAAATGAACTTTTGCGGCCCCCTAAACTGAAATATACAGGGCTGTATTCAGGATTCCACACGTGTTTTTTCCATCTCAGTGGCTGTAATTCTCAGGCTACACATGGCAGCTCTGGAGTCTGTGGATGGTAGCTGCTCTAACTTCCAGCCTGTCCCTGTTCAAGCTCAGCAGAGGTATCTCCTTATCGGACTGGCTTAGGCTGTAGACCCCACTTCTGACCCAGTCCTTGTGGTTGTGATAGCAGCCTTGGGCCGGCTAAGGTTATATATGCTCCAACTGAAAATTGAGGGCTGTTTGTGGAAGGAGGGGTAAACATGGAAAGAAAACAGTATTAGCCCAGTTTTCATGCTGCACCAATGGGGAATTGAAAATGATCTCTGAACAGAGCAATGCTTTATGTGGAGTGAATAATTAGGTATGTTTACATAACTTGGTCGACAGACGAGAGGGTCAGTAGTACTCAGTGTACATCAGTATAACTGTCAAATATACATTCTAGGACCTTCTCATTATAGTTTCATTCACTGAGTCTGGGTAGGGTCCAAAAGTCCACATCATTAAATAAGCATTTGGACGACTTGCCACTTCAAGGGTTATGTTGTTTTGAGCAACTTATGATTTCAGGCACTAAGCAAGCAAAAGTATAATTCAGACCATGGAAAAACTTGTCTTTAAACTTCTTAGTAATTTTCCCCAGAAATCATGTTATTAAGATTTCATTTGAAATAAAAGTGGTAGACTAATTTTAACAAATAATCAAGCCTTAAATGGTTTAGCTTGGGAAGAGTTTATAGTTGCTTGCATTGTATTAGTATAGTCACGTGTTGCCTGACCAGGGATATCTTGAGAAATATGGTTAGGTTACTTCGTCGCTGAGCAAACACCATGTAGTGCACTTACATGAACCTAGGTGGGATTGTCTCCTGCACACCTAGGCTGTATGGTGTAGTCTGATGCTCCTGGGCTACAAACCTGTATAACATATTATTGTATTGCACTCCATAGGCACTTACAATGCATTGTGTACTATGATAGTATGACATAGCTATGACAGCACTAGGCAGTGGACTTTTTCCAGTTGTGTATGTGACCCATTGTTGACCAAAGTATTATGCAAGCTGTAACATTTCCTGGGCCCACTAACTTACGTAATTTGAAACGCAATGCAAATTTTACAAAGCTTAGCCTGTGTGTTTAATGAAAACTGACAAATTTGGTATAGTAAAATTGAAGAAATGGGTGTGTTGGGTCTAGCTACATACACCAACTGTATGACCATGTCAGTGCCTTTATTTCCTTATGTATGAGCAATGTTTATAAACTTAAAAGTCCACTCTAGGGCCCTGGCTGGTGTGGCTCAGTGGATTGACTTCCAGCCTGTGAACCAAAGGGTCGCCAGTTTGATTCCCAGTCAGGGCACATGCCTAGGTTGCAGGCCAGGTCCCCAATAGGGGGTGTGCACAAGCAACCACAGATTAATGTTTCCCTCTTTTTCTCCCTCCCTTCTCTAAAAGTATCTTTAAAAATAAAAGTTACTTAAAAAATAAGTCCACTCTAGATCCACAAACTAGATCCAATCAGCTCATAACAGCATTATTGTGTACATGACTCAGACCAGGCTAGTTTAGCAGCATTTAAGTTTATCCTTCCATTATCTTTGTCCTTGAAGAACCTGTTTTGTACCCTGTCCCCTAGATTTGTAAAGGTTACATTAGGAAATTCTTGTAAGACCAGAAGTAAAGTTAAACTGTCCAGCTGTCATTTATTAGCTATGAGACTTGAATTTCTGGTTCCTCATGTGTAATGTATCCTTAACATCTTGCATGATAGGTGGATGGTTAACAGCTTTAAGGAAAGACAGGGTTAGTTTGATATTAAGCTTAATCATCTATGGGTAACTTGAATGACTGGCTAAAAGAATATATCCCAAAAAGTGGATGATTGTTCTCCCATGTACAATGTGCACCTGCGTTTTTGGCCCAGACTTTCAGGGAAAAGGTGTTTTAATTTTTTAATTCAAAGTTATTTGTATTTAGATCCTATTTTTCTATTATGAAGGAATTTTGGCATTTATTTTCGAACATACGGTACCAGAAATTTTATGTAACAAAAACACGGGAAAAGTATTTCAGGTACTACCCCATGTATAAATGCACATGTTTAGTTTTCCCTAAAAAACTTGGGCAAAAAGTACACATTATAAACAGCAAAATATGGTGTTTGGGTAGACCTGTATTTCTGAAAATTCCAGTTTACTGCTATAGACACTCTCCTGAAGGCAGAAAGCTGTATATGAAAGAAAAGTCTCCCTTAGGAGATTCTAAAGCAAACATCAAAGACACAGGCAAAACACACAGTTCATTGGTGACCAAGTGTTTATTGAGACAAAAGAATACAAATTGGTGGCATACAAATTATTGAAAACGATGCCTTATTTAGAGGCAGGGCATTAGATATTTGTGGGTCAAACCCTATATAAGGATGGCAAGGAAATACACATTTAGTTTGAAATGAGGAACTTCACCCAGCGAAGTACATATTTATTGTAAAAGATTCTGACCGCTGGTTATGGGGGAACGGGGAATGGTAAATAATTGAAATGCTTGTCAGATTTTAGGAATACTGTTGTTATTTAGACATATTATTCAAAAGAAAAGCCTGGGATGGGTATAGAATGAAAATATTTAATGCCCTTATTCCCTTCAAAAAGCCCTTTTTTCCCAAATAGCAAATTAATTTTCAACTACCCTCCTTTTGCTGGAAATACATAAGCATCAGTGAAACACAGGGAACATTTTTAGAGTTAAAACAATTTTTACCACCATTTGAAATAAAAAAACACTGAAGATTTATTTTTATAAGACAAAGTGGCCCTCATATATAATACAATTTTTTCCAATTCTAAATACTTGGGTATAATGGGAAGGTAAATGTTTAAATAGAAAGAAGTAACTTCTGAACCAGTCCTACATAAATACCAGTTGGGCAATACTTTATAAAGGCTTAATGTCTAGAAAGGTGTTGGCGTGATCTGTATATCCATACAGACTAGTCTAAAAGCAAAGCTTGCCATCACTCACATTTAACCTCCGCTAGCCGCACCATGAATTAGTGACTTTCTCAGTGTGAACTAGCCACTCGGGTTTCCTTTGGTAATGGGTACTGAGATTTCCTAGATCCCTTAAAGTTAACCATTAGAGCACATTTAATGAAATTGTATTCTCACTCATCTTGACTCCTAATTTTTGTTTCATTATTTGCTTACATTGTAAAAGTCATGAATGTTGTACTGTGAAGACAACTTTCTGGCTTTACCCCTAGAGCTTCAGTATGAGAATTACACTTGATACCGAAAATCATCGTTTCTATAAATTACATATACTAAACAGAAAGGTATTGAGGGATTCTCCACTCTTCCACAACCCCAAGAAAAAAAGGGGCTCCTCTTTTCCCCATTGTTTTGTCATTTCCCTGTCTCCCAATTATTCAGGAGTCAAAATCTCTTTTCCTAAGGGATGAATTCATAAATAGAAGCAGACTTGGGTTTGTTGTTTTGTGTTTTTTTGGTTGTAAAAGCAGACAATATTTCTTTTATAGGGCTATATAGTATAACTTGAATACTGAGATGGATCTAAATGAATCTACATAGGTGTGCACTGTTTTAGGTGTAACAAGGTAAACAGGACTATTAGTTTGCTTTGTTTTACTATATAAATAAAAATAGCCTATATGGCAAAAGCTCCAATATCTGAGAAGAAATAATTCCATTGTTAATGACTGAAGGACATTTCAACTTGGAATTCCCAATCAATGGCAAAAATAGTGTATGTGTATACTAAATGGTACATTTATGTAACATTCCCTAATTTCTAGTTTAACAAATTGAAGGCCCAAAACATTTCCCACAGGCTACAAGTGAGTGATCTGTTTAATACTCTGACACACTGACAGGCTTTCTGTGATGTTGGACTTCATATAAAGTTATTTTGAAAAACATAGTTTATGAAGCTTTACAATAAAAAGGATATTGTTAATGTTTCTATAGCCATAAAATGCAGTTATTTTCAGTTTTAAATATCAAAGAAAACCCTCCTTGAAAAACTGATATAGTGATAATAGATGTGTCTTACATTTGCTAATAAACTTACCATCAAAAATAAAGCCTAGACTGACCCTTTTAAACAATCTAACTATGAACTACCCAACATAATTTAGTGTTTTGTTTTTACTTTTTTTGGGGAAATAATATCCAAGTTGGAGAAAACACCTAAGAAACACAGTTCAGGTAGCTCTCAACACAGCTAACTGGGCCATCTAACAAAAAGCACAAACACACCTGCAACTCCTTAACTTTGTTTCAATAGAAAAATAAATTAAAATGGCAATACAGTGTTACTTTGCTTAACATTTCCCTCAAACCACCAACCCTGGCAGGCCCAAAATAGAAGATTTTGGCTCACAGAACCAAAGAACTTAATACCTTGAAATACCCCTCTTTCTTGTTTCAGAACATCTGTAATGGTAAAACTGCTAGTATTTCACAGGCTACCAGTAGTCAATCATGAAACATTCAGATTGTGTAACTCAATGTTTCAAAAGTTATGAGGCTAATAAAATGTAAAAAGAAAGTAGTGTGTAAATATATCCTGTGTTTAAAGAGAAGTTATATTCAGAACACTGAAAAGCACTAATACTTTCTTCATGCTGCACACATACTGGGAATATGGTTTTACAGTGAATATGCAATGGTTTGATGGAAGTAATTTTTCTTCACTTACAGTTTGGTTTAGGGCACTAAAAATACCTGCACATGAATTTTAAGTTTATAGTACCCCCCCCCATTAAAAGTAATCACTAACTTTTCTTTAAAAAGTCCATGTTAATATAACAATATGACAATACTTTTTCATCATCATGCAACTTGCCCCAAAATACATGTTGAAGCATTAAGAGTAGCTGTATACTGCAGTACAGACTTTAAAACTTCAGGTAAGGGAACTGCTAGGCCTGCCTCACTTGTCCCTTTCTCGCCACTAACTCACCACCTCCAGCAATAGGAGATTAAGTGGCTTATCAAATTTGTGTCCTCACTTCCTGCCCCTCCCCCCAAAAGCAAAGACAATTTCCCCAAGAAGTGATCACTAACAGATGAATAATGTGTTTACAAAACACAACTGGATGTCTTCCATCATTTTGGGATAAACCAAAATAAATTTTTAAAGTTTCATTTGGAGATTTCAAAGCTGAAAATGCTTTCAGCAAATTCTAATGCCTTAGATCTTAGTATGCACTGTCCACTGTTGATTAGGAAACCACTTGCTTTCTTTTTGATCTAAAATTTTAATACTTGAATTCAACAGGTTTTTCTTCTGGAAAAGTGCTTGGCATTGAAGTAAAATCAATACTTTCAAAATAGCCACCGGTATCACACTGGAGCGACTGCTTTAATTTCTAAATTACCAATTAATGTTAACTCGGATACTGGTGGCCTTGATACATAATTTAGTCTTGTCATTATTCCAGACAGTACGGAATTCAGGGCTTTGGGGGGCATCATCTGACCCCATTTCTTTTTACCACAATGGTTCCTGCTACAATGTCATAGGCTGTTCGATTATGCTGGAAAAAGAGCAGTGTGATGAAAGCAGGGAAAAAAGAAGCTATAGAAAAATTCTTGATCAAAGCTCGTATAGTGGACCTAAGAATAAAAAATAAAGCAAAAAATCAGATAAATGGTATACCCATCACATATAGATGACTATTCTATCAAGTTCAAAATATGTATTTAAAACACAAAGTATAGTTGAGAATTTTTACCTTTGATATCTGAGTTACTGTCAAATATATGCTCAAACTATCTCAGCCAGTTCTAAAGATTTCATCAACATAGAAGACTGGAGCTTTCACATGAAAAGCAGTGATATGTCTAACAATGCAAACCAAAGTTTATAGTGTTTTGCCAGAAGAAAACCATTCCCTTTAGTTACCTTTTCTATAGTCACTCGTTCCTGTGTGTTTTCAGTATTTAAATTGAGTACACTTAACTGCAGTCTCATTTTTTATCTTTCATGAGGCACTAGCCTTTTTTTCACCCTCACCCAAGGACATGCTGACTGATTTTAGAGGGGAAAGGAGCAAGGGAGGGAGGAAAACATAAATGTGAGAAATAGAAGGCGTCTCTTGTATGCTTCCTTACCAGGGATTGAACCTGCAACCTAGGCAAGTGCCCCGACCAGAAATCAAACTCGAGACCTCTAGGTTTATGGGAGGATACTCCAATCCACTGAGCCACACTGCTCAGGGCAGCACTGGCACTTTAAATTACCGTGTTAAAACTTTTATCAGCTCTCTTTCTTTGTGAGATCTTGTGATTTAAAAACTTAAAAAAAGAGAAAACTTTCAATAGCAGAGAATGGAGAATTATCCTACAAATATTAAGATTTTTGTATTTTAGTATACTCAAAGGCTATAGAAAAGCACAAGGGCTAAGAGTGGGCTCTGGAGCCAGACAGTTGGTTTCAGACCTACTTCCTAGAAATCACAAGTTGTGTTCTACATCCATAAAAAAGGGGTAATGGTACCTGTGTTATAAGGTACCATTATCCCTTTTTACAGGGGTAATGTTAGTTACAATCCAACTCTGAATCATTCGGGCAGCAATTCCAGCCAGTATCTTATTTTGCTCAAACAATTACACCTATTCACCTTCACCATTATCCCCCTTTGTACTTTCCCCCAGAAGCAGATGCCAACAGCTAACCTTGAGTACTGGGAGTATTACAAGCAGGATGCATGCACTGTTACTAAAACTCTTACTACCTATTTAAGATGGTAGGATGACAGGTATTACCAAGTGGAGGCTCAAGGCAGATCAGTACCTGGACCCAATATCCACAGGGCTAGAGAATAAAAAAGCTAGGCAAGGCAAGAAGCACTGACATAGCATTGACATCCAAATCATCCTTTCATTACAGTGACTTGTATTTCATCAAATGATTCTCCTGAAAATGTCTACTGAAGAAGGATCTACGATTATTTAATTGAAAAAACTCAAACTTTGTTTTAATGTAAGCCTATTATAATATGCCACGGAGAAAAAATACCAACATCCTAAAAATACTATATTAAATGGTATCTTATGAATGATATTGACAACTAAAAGTTTGTAATTTTCAGAATACATAGTAGAATAAGATAAGAACTTACGTTGTAATGCTAACATTTGAGGAAGGAATCACTAAAACCCGACTTGGTGCAATAAGCACTGATGTATCACATGTCACAACTCGAAGCCCCAGCAGGAACTTCCCTGGGGTAGCTCCACCTGCTCCCCAAATGCAAATGATCTAAGGAAAGAAGGATAATTCAGAAATTTACTAGCTCAAACACCAATTTTATTTTTTTATTGATTTTTAGAGAGGGAGGAAGGGAGAGACAAACATGGATTAGTTGTTCCACTTATCCATGCGTTCACTGGTGGTTTCTTGTATGTGCCCCAACTGGGGATTGAGCCCCCAACCTTGGCATGTCAGGAGGATGCACTAACCAATCTAACTACCCAGCCACGACTCAACCATACCAACTTTAAGAGTAAGTTTTTCTGCCATATTATTGATGTTTTAAAAATTTCAACTTGAAAGAATTTCACAGAATACTCAAAAGGCAGACCTTTCAATATCTATTCTTAAGCTGTTAAGAGAACATCTTCAATACCACCAGCTGTTTACTGTAATGTTTTTTAATATCTATTCTTAAGCTGTTAAGAGAACATTCTTCAGTACCACCAGTTGATTACTGTAATGTTTTTTAATGATCCGCTTGTTTCTATGGAAAAATACATTTCAAGTTCCACAACTAATTTACAAATACATTTAGATGATGGGACAGAAATACAGTACAGAGAAATTATAGAATGTCTCTACTCAGAGAGTTCTTTTTTTTTTAATTTGAAAAGTTTTATGTTAAAAATATTTGGAAAAATGGAGACATTTGACAAATACATAAGTAATTGTAAATTTCCATTATTTTTTTCCTTGCACTGATAATCTAAAATTAGATAGTTAAGTATCTAATATTTGCTGAAGTCAGTAGCTTACCTCATAGAAACAAACTAATAATCTGTATATAAGAGCCACAACCATCATTTTCTGCAAGTCTTCCATTGATGTGTCTTCATCTATTTCTTCTATTATATAATGCATAGCAAACTTAGAGATATCCCTACACAAAATAATAGTTTTGGGTTATAAAGAATTAGTTATCAGATGAGTTACATTGACTTTTGTTTTCTATTAGTGTTAGTCATAAACTTTAATTGAAATTCTAAACTAATCGTTAGGTTTCCAGCCATCTAGTTTCATAAAACGTTAGCTTATTCAAGAAACAGCACTATCATGAGCAGGCACTGTCCAAACCCTGGGGATATAATGGTGAGTGAATTCAACATGGTGTCTGCCTTCATGGAGATTCTAACCAAGCAGGAAGGCAGAACGGTGAGTAATAATAAAGTGAGATGAGAGGTGTGATAGAAAACCATAGTGTACTATTGAAACACATACCAGGTACATTTAACTTGTGAAGCTTCCCAGAAATGGCATTTAAGCTTAGATCTGAAGGATGACAGAAATTAGCCAGACTAGTAAGGGAGAAGTTTCAGAGAGAGGGACTAACAAGGGAGAAGGCCTTGCAGCAAGACAGTGATGGAAGGTATATACAGTTTGGGATGGCTCAAATATTAAGTATAAGAGGTAACGGTGATTATGAAAGAAGGGTATCTTAAAATTAAACCATACAAAGACAAGACTTTATCCTGGTGACAATGAGAAAGCACTGAAGGAAGTGCTTTAAGGCAGGAAAGGAGCAGAATCACTTTATCATCTCTTTGCGTGTACATCAGAGACCACATTGAATTACAACAGGAGACTGAAACATCAGTTAGAAAACTTTTGCTATGATCCAGGCAACAGATGAGTCACTGAACTAGAAGGAATTATTAAAAAATGGTCTGGGTTGAAGGTTATTCAGGAGACTCAACAGGAAGGAGTTGGTACTTGGACATGTAAGAGAGTAATCAATGAAGAGACAGAAAGGAAACACAGTATCACTCAGGTTCCTGGCAAGAGCCCTGAAATTTGACTACAAGGGTTTGTGTCTGTCACTTATCATCTTCACAACTTTGTAAATTCTGGGCTTCTTGTAAACCCAAATTTCGATCTCTTCAAAAATGGAGGCATTAACCTCTACAGCTCATAATGGTGTAAGATTGAGAATCCATATAAAGAGGTGAGCTCAACGCCTAGCACATAGAAGATAATTAGCAAGTGATAATTACTACTATGATTATTAATACGAAAGGTGGGTTATTCAAATAGCACACTCCGCAGTTCACTTGGGACTTCCCTGATAACATAAGCAATCCCATTTGGAAATGCCATCTAGCTGATTAACACAGTTCATCCTCCAAAAGCTCTTAATAGTAGCAAAAGGGAAATGAGTTCTGCCTCCTGAGAAAATAGTTGAATAAAATCAAACCAGGCTTGGGAGCTCCTTTTACCTATTTTTTGATGGGTGAGATTCCCACAGCTTTCCCAGAATTTATTAAGTGTTACTCTCTTTTTTATAGTTATTTCTTAAAACTAAGAGGAAAGAAAACAAATCTCTAACAGCTCCTATAAAAAAAGTCACAACACTGGCAAGCTGATTGTCCATATGGTCACTTGCATGCATAAACAGAATTCAACAAGATTCCTAGACAGCAGGTTTTAATAAGCCTTTCTGCACGTATTCTTAACTTACTTTATTCCACTGAGGTGCATAATGCTTAAGACAATGGTTGCTTTTATAAAAAAGAGAATAAGGAAATCCACCATCTCTGCCATAAATCTGTGGGCCAAGGATGGAATAACATACTCTCTTCCTGTAAATTAAAAAAGAAAAGTTAGGAAAACGAATCATTTCACATAGGCCTTGGAACCCCAAGCTAGCTAAACAAATGGAGAATGTAAAGTCAAGGTACAACTTGCTAATAACACACACACACACAACCTTGCAACAGTCATTGGCATTGACTCCACCCATAGTACATGTTATTAAAATACAGCAACACCATTCCACTATTTATGAAGAGTTTCACTTCAATGTTTAAAAAATGACTTCACAGGTAAATTTACTTATTCAAGGTACTCTCATTTCACTAGGCACTCAGAAGAACTGAGGTGATCACAAGCCTGTGACACTATATATTTTTAGTAAAAATTAGGGTTCAGTGTAGACAATCAGCACAAAATAAATCCCTGTGTTCATTTTACCTCTTAACTGTTTGTCTTGCTTTCTTTGTAGTAATACATCAATGTGTCATAATGAATTCTGAATGGGATCAAATTTAGAACCTTGTCCCGTACATCTGTGGCTGAATAAAGTAAACTAAACGATAAACTAAAAGGAGTAACTAAGGCAAATTATTCTAATTCTTCTACAGAAGTAAACACAATATAAAGGTCATTCAGCTAGGACCAGTCAAAGGTTCATAACTCCATTTTTATACACGTAAACCTCCTTTTATGTCCATCAGTTCCACTGTCCTTAACAGAAAGGCAATACAGAACTATTAATTCTGTATTACCATATATTCTATAATATAGAGATAATATGCAATAAATCTACGTCTGGATTATTTCCAGCGTTACCCGTCAATCCCCCGACACCCACCCCCACCCCCACGCCTGTTTGCGATCCGAGAATTAAGTTTTCAATCTCGTTCTCCCGAGTGTGGAAATGAAGAGGATGGTCTAAGGAGCAGAGATTTCTTGAACGACTAGTCCCAGGTCTAAATGAAGAAGAAACTGTACAGCCTCTGTGTACAGTTTGGGAATTTAAGGCCCGGGCAAACTACAGCTGAAGCGCACGAAAAGCGAGCCCAGTCCACCTTCCCTGCAGTCCCCTCAGGACCCTTCCGCTCTGCCCCACCGCTCGCGGGCACTTCTCACCTGCCTGGCGCCCGGTCTCGCTGGGTGCTCGCGAAGGGCCGGCGGATCCCACCCTCGTTGCCGGGGTTGTCCGGACGGGCCCCTGAACGTGAGGGGCACGGGATCCCGGGCCCGCGACTGGAGCAGGAGTGCCAGTGCCGGGAGCCGCCCCCGGGTCAGGCCCCGCAGTCGCCGCGCTCAGGAAGTAGAAGGGGTTGTAATAGCCCAGGTGCAGGGGCGGCGGCGCCGTGGCCTGGGGGGCGGCCCCGCCGCCCGAGGGGTAGCTGGGCGGGGGCGGCTGCGAGCTGCAGTAGGCTGGGAAGGCGGCCAGGCAGCTGTGCCAGGTGAGGTAGCCGCAGTAAGACTGCCACAGCCATTCGTGCACCTGCCGGGAGTACTCGCGAGCGCTCAGCCGCGCCGGCTTCTCCCGCAGCGACCCGGACTCGGGTGTCTCGCAGCCCGCCGGCTCCTGAAGCCCTGCGTGGCAGTCGGGCGCCGCCTCCGCGCGATTCCCGGGCTCGGGCTCGTGATCCGGCTCCTCCGCGGCCGCGGAGAGCGCGAGGCCCGGGGCCCGAGGTTCGGCCTGTGGTGCGTCCTGGGGGCGTGGGGAGGCGGCGGCAAGAGGGCCTCTCAGGGATGGGACCGGTTCATGGTCTCCTCCGCCGTCGTCCTGCCCAGGAGGGCGGCCTTCGGCCTCCTCGGGCCCCTCTGCCATCTTCGCCTCAGCAGCACCCTCCGCTGTCTGGTCACTGCGCCTTCTCCCCTCTCTACTGTCCCTCCCCAACGGTCCAGTAGCCACCGCAGCAGCCACAGGCGTCAACAATCCGCCACCGGAAGCGGAAACCCCGCCCCTGTGCAGCGCAGCCAGCCGCAGGGCGGAGCGCAGTTTCTGGGGGAGAGTGCAGGGGTGGTGGGGCAGAGGTCCTCAGCAGGCATGGAGGTGGGCGGCTTCTACGCCCACAGTCCTTGATTTATAGGTTGCTGTGCCGAGACAATTACTAACCGATCAAACCCCCAACCCCTAAAGTCTTAATGAAGTCCAAGGCAGGGATGGCTTCAGATAATCTAATCCCACAGGAGCCTGACTCAGGAGAGGCTTCTAGTGCTGGAGGAGAATTTCCTAGAAAGCTCTCTGAAATTGGCGTCGCTTTCTCTTCGCTTTTTCTATTACCGAGCCTCGTTTGTTTTGCTCTCTGGGCACAGAAGTTGTTGCTTATTTCCTCCTTGCAGTCATTCTAATTAACTAGTGCTCGGCCATTTGTACTCAAGGTGTTACAGATATATGCCTTTAAGAGGTTAAGAAATTAATAAACGAAACTGGGACATATGTCAAGAGAGTGGCTCAGCTGCAGAGATTTTGATTGTAGGAGAAGGGAAGAGGGATTATTTCAGACAGTCAGATTCAGGAAAATACCACAGGGCAGCTGATGATATTGGGAGAACTGTGTGAAGTCCTAAGGAGCCTACTTTGAGGGGGACTGAGCCATCATTGTCCTATGTACAATGTTTCTTGTTTCTCGTATCTTCTTCAATAAATGTCTCTGTTTTTTTGTATTATATGGCTGGATACCTTCTGGACAGATCTATATATAGTACCTTAGATCTGTATATTTGTATTTTAATATACTTTTCTATGTCTTAAGTTGATCGATAGCAGCATATATGTACTATACAGAAGACTTACAAGGGCCAAGTATTGTGTGTATACTTGTTAATAAGGATGTAATAAGGTCGCATTCCTATTGACTTTTCTCTGGGAGATGTAAAAGGTGTAATCTTTTGCCCTTAAAAAACTAATGATTTAGAGCTGGGGGGGCAGTGGACTGGGATGGGAGTAAAAGGCAAAAAACTACTTGAACAACAATTAAAATTAAAAAAAACCTAATGATTTGGTTAAAGGGAAGGACTTTGATGAACCATCTGAATACCTGTTGAAGACAATATGAGTATAATATGAATCCGAAGTAAGGGAAAGATCATGGTAGTCTTTAGCTAGAAAGTTTACCCTTACAAGTATGTTTTTAAAGTCAACTGTGAGGCAGATGTAATGTTTAAACAAAAAACATTCCAAGTTTGGGTGGCAGAGACAGGAGGAGCAGGAACAGAGAAATGAAGATGGCATGGAACAAGGGTGAAATACTGTGATTGTTGAAGACATGGACTTTGTTTTGAATAACACTGATTGTATAATAGCTGGTACAGTGCCACCCACGTAGCAGAGAGTTAATCAGGGTTATTGGTTGCAATCATCACAAATTTAATTGCAACTGATTTAATGGAGAAAATTGTAAGTGAATTTTTTTTACTGACTTGGATAACTAAAAAGAGCAGGAGTAGTTTAGGTTTAAAGGATATCTAGATACAGATAATCAAATGATAACCTCAGGGGTCACTTCCTTTTTCTCTCACTGACTTTGCTTCTGAGAAAAGTAAGAGTGTTTCTCTTTTTGTAATAAGAAAACTTCATTTTAACTGGCTTCAGCAAAAAAGAATTTTGCCTTCCCTTACCTAACCAACAATTTCAGAGCTTCTACATTTAATAGACATTTCAAAAGAGAGAAGAGAGGCAGAGTTCAAAGAAATACTGGCCAATGATTTTCTTGAATTAAAGAAAAAGATTACTCTTTAGATTGAAGAAATATCAAATCTTGAGAAAATAACATAGATCATAATGAATTTAAAGAAAAATTTAATGATCTTAAGAACAGCATTTAAAATATATCCTACCTAAAGAAATGACATTTAGACAGGAAGCCAAACTTGCGAAAGTAAAAATATATGCTGAAGATAGTGAAAAATAGATATATTACAGAGGGGAAATTATTGACAACCTTGGATGCTCTAACCAAGTGAATCATCACTCAGGAATGAGGATGCAGTGTAATGGACTACCACAAATCTGAACAACATCCTGATCAACCTTGACCCCTCTGATCACACTCAGCTAAGGATTAAAGTCTCAGAGATATAGAAAGAGAATATTCATGAGTCAAAATATAAATGGATTCTAGAAATGTAGTGGTATGTGAGTTGGAATATGCATGAATTCCCACGTAGAAACAGTATATAGTAAAGCCAAAAATACATGGAAGAACATTTGCCACAAAAGTATTGTGGATGACAGATAACTCCACAAACCCCCAAATTGCATTCACAAATGCAAAACTTTCACAGGGACAGTACTAAAAAAGTCACTTAAAAGCTATAAACATATTAAAATCATATAGGACATGAAGGAGTAAAAACAGAATGAGGAAAAACTTAGAAATGAAGCAACAGAAGTTGAGAAAGAAATAGAAATAAAATAAAAAATGATTTCAGAAAAGAATACTATTCTAGAAGGAACACAGGAGTAAACAAACACAATAGACGTGCCCAAGAGAACTAAAATTTAAATATGAGATTTTCTTGAGTGTAAAAGAAATACAGAAAGACACTAAATGATTTGAGAGAAATGATAGATATTGGAAATAGGCAAAAAGATCCAACACAGGGATAAAGTGTGTCTGATAAATAAAACCAATCTAGCTAACAGAACAAATACAACACATTATAATTCAAGAACACTTTTTTCTGTAATATATATTATATTTACATATACTCACATTTTATATACACGTGTATATACATATTTGAAACGTACTGAAAGAGCATACCGTGTATCTGAGAACACTGAGAATGAACAACAATATGTATTCTCGTAAAATTACTGGATTTCACATTTTGAAAAGTGGTTACCAGGCCAAAAAAGTAACTTATGAGCAGAAGAAAATTGGTTAATCAAGACTTCAACATTAACACTTCATGTGAGAGGAAAATGATGAGACATTTAAAATGTTCAAAGAAAGAAAATAAGAACCAAGGTTTTTGTATTCAGCAAAACCAACTTTCAAGTTTAAAAGCATAGACTTACTTTGTTATCAACTGAGGTAACTGAGAGAACATTATTTATTCACTTGAGTCCTTCTTGAGCACTTCACTACAAATGAAGCACAGCCACCCAAATGACTGACTGACAGACAATGCCAAGAGAATGGGTGAACATTAAATATTTCATTATATCTAGAACTAAGACTAAAGGAAGGTTTGTTTCAGACAGGGTCTGGTCAGGAGGGAAAAAAAAATCACACAGTAATTTGAACAGAAAATTTTTATTATAAAGACTTAGTGGAATTGGAATGAAGGGGAGTTAGCTGCTAAGAGGCAGAGGTAACCCCTACAATACAGGAACGGTAGGTACAGGGAGCAGCCACCACTTCTAGGACTGCAATAGACTGGCCGAGGAAGAGCTCCCCTGCTCTCCACCCTACCAACACCTCCGCCCCGCCCCCACCTGCATTTCGCTGCTAGAGAGGGCACGGCTGTGGCTCACTAGTCAAAGTTCATTGAGGTGTGACCTCAGTGGGACTCATTAGAAATTCTCTCTCTGGAATTCTGGGAGAAGCAATTGACAAGGAGGCGACTTCATCTCAGAGTTCACTGCAAAGTGCCCACAGAACCCACTTACAGAAAGGTGCTTTGCCAGCAGCATATTATAAAGCCATCTAGGGAGCAGTGTACTGGGGGAAGCTGCCCTGGGAAGTTTCTGCTTGTTGCTGGCCATTGGGCACTGCCGAAAGGACCCCTGAACTCTGCAGAAGCCCAAGGAGATAAGCACAGGAGAATCAAAAAAAGAAGCCTTTTCCTTCAGTGGCCGCCAGTGGTCTTTACCAACCAAGCATAATGCCAAACCAACTGTCACAGGGGAAGTATTTACAGAGTTCATTTCCATTATTGCAGAGCAAGTAAAGATTCGGAGCTGAGAGGTAATAAATTGACGTCTGAAACAGGATTAAAAGAGAGTATACTCTGAGCTGGATTTATATTCTGCAATATTGGTACAAAAACTACTATAAAACTACTGAGTGTGAGGAGAACATCAGCAAAAGTTTTTAAACTTTTCAGTGTATAGGTGATGGTAATATTAGTATTATTTTGAGAATGTGTGTGTAAAATGAATGATTACCGTTAGTATAAATTCTTTCTCTGTGTATATGTGTATGTGTATATACATATATACATACATATGTGTGTTTATTTTTTTCTTGTTTCCTGGGTTATTTCAGTAGCAATAATTATCCTTCTCAATCATCTGGACTGTGGTCTTGAAATACCATATCTCACTAAAAGAAAAAAGGACTTTAATTTGCATCTCTTTGATAACTAATGATACTGAGCATCTTTTCATATGTCTCTGGACTCTCTGTATGTCCTCCTTGGAGAAGTGTCTCTTCAAGTCCTTTGCCCGTTTTTTACTTGGGTTGCTTGTCTTCTTAGAGTGGAGTCATGTGAGTTCTTTATATATTTTGGAGATTAAACCCTTGTCTCAAGTATCATTGGCAAATATGTTTTCCCATGTGGTTGGTTCTCTTTTCATTTTAATACTGTGTTCTTTAGCCATGCAGAAGCTCTTTATTTTTTATTTTTTAAAGATTTTATTTATTTATTTTTAGAGAAGAAGAGAAGGAAAGAAGGAGAGAAATATCAATGTATGGTTTCCTCTCATGAGTCCCCTGCTGGGAACTGGCCTGCAACCCAGGCATGTGCCCTGACTGGGAATTGAACTGCGATTGTGTGGTTCGCAGGCCCGTGCTCAATCCACTGAGCTACACCAGCCAGGAGCTCTTTATTTTGATGAGATCCCATTTGTTTATTCTTTCCTTTATGTCCCTTGCTCTAGTGGACATATCTGTGAAAATATTGCTGTGTGGAATATCAGATTTTCCTGCCTATGTTCTCCTCTAGGACTTTAATGGTATCACAACTTATATTTAAGTCTTTTATTCACCTTGAATT